AGTTGTCGCTCTCCAGTGACCACAATATTGCTCAAAACTAAACTTAAAACTGTAAAGTATAAGTATTCATACATTTACGATAATTTGAATAACAATGACACCGTGGGCATTATGTGCTGCGCGACAACAGTACTAAGATATTCAAAACACGAACACGTAAATACATAAATACACAGAAGGGGAAGAACAAGGAGCGAAGGAATAAGAAACATGAGAGGACAACGGAGACAATGATGACGAAGAAAGAAAAATAGGAATAATAATGACAAGAGGAGGAAGATAACAAAGAATAAGAAAACAAATACGATAACAAAGAAAAAGAATGGGAAGAGGAAGAAGAGGTAGCAAAAGTAGTTGAATATGATGAATAAGTAGAACATGAAGAGTAAGAGGTAGATGAAGAAGGGGAGGCAGAAAAAAAAAATCAATAGTAAAGATAATGGCAGATCACTGTATAACATGAAAATGCGATATCTTCTTGTACTAAAGCATCCGGTGAATGACCTTAGGCAGATTTATACACAAACATTTAATATTTCATGAGCACCATTCATTTATCTCATGTATCAAGAATATTACAATTTCAGAAACGATCACGTGTATGTAAATGGAATCAAAAGATTGTTATCTTTTTTTTACAATTCATTCCTGTACACACTAAGAAAAAATGGTGCAAGTATGCACCTTTCGGGATGCAAACCGATGCAACACTAGCAGCACCTTTAAGGGTTCAATCCTGCACCCTTTGAGAGGGTGTCAGATTGAACCTTTTAGGGGAAATAGTACCCTTTATGGTTCATTCCTGCACCTTTAGGGGTACAAACCGATGCAACACTAGCAGCACCTTTAAGGGTTCAATCCTGCACCCTTTGAGAGGTTGTCAGATTGCACCTTTTAGGAGACATGTTAGTACCCTTAATGATTCTATACTGCTCCATTAGGGGTGCAAACCGATGCAATAACAGCACCTTTAGGGGTTCAATCCTGCACCCTTTAAAAGGTGCAATCCTGCACCCATACTCGAGGAGTACTCGTGACATTTGCTCGTACACAAATACATATTAAACATGCATGTTGTTTCTTGGTTAGTAATCATATATTCAATATATCTATTGCTAAAACGTGAATGTAATTGTAACATGATCAGACAAAATAATCTACTGGTTAATGATTGCCGAAGGAAAATACAAATCACAAAAATTGATGTGCATTGTCATAATTTGATTAACACATCATGATAAATGTATTTTTTTGTGAACACGTGTAAAGTAATCATGAATATGCATGCAATATGCAACATTTTATTTTGCACCTTTTTTTGGTCGATAGGGTTCATTTTTGTGGGAAGGGTGCAAAATCTTATATTGCACCCTTTTTTGAACCCCTTTTCCTTCAATAGCGTTCTTTTTCATGTAAAGGATGCAAACTCTTATTTTGTAAAGAAAGCAACTGTACGAACATGAATTGCAATTGCTCGACATTTATTTCCGCTTCAAGGCGTTAACATTTAAAATAGGCAATATCTGCCTGTAATACCAATACACATACATGATGCAAATTGCTATGTACGAACATGAAAACTCAGGAACATAATTCTGCGAAACTCAAAACCAAAATACATGTAATATAATCCTATCTGCAATATCAAACTGTGAGAATTAATTTTTCAGAATAATCCTGAGGATCTCTGGTCACGTGATCACCAGAAAGGATAGTAGCTCCTCCCGGTAGCCCCCCCCCCCCCCCCAATTCATGGGGCTCTGAACGTGATCCACCAGCAGGATAGTAACTCCCGCTGATATCCCCCTCTTATTGGGGTTCCTGTCCCCCTCATCACTCCTAAACGCGGACGCGCATCCCGGCCTGCTTGGCCAAAGATATTGGCAGGCCCGCGTGTTCAAATTAAATTATATACAATTCAAACCTCTATACCGTAACTGACTTAAACTACCATCCTTGTTCTCTGAATGAATATGTATTCTCTAACCTTGAAAACATCTACAAAAACATACATATAACGATAATTACATGTATACTCGTGATCGATCTCTCCAATCACCCCAACCTCCCAACCATAAAACAACACGTCACAATGACCTGTAACTTGACACACAGGATTAAAATCTCCGTGCGGCCCAGCCTCCCAACCGTAAGACATGTGATAATGGCCTGTAATTAAACACAGGATTAAGTTCTCCATGCAGCCCAACCTCCCATCCGTAAATCATGTGAAAATGACCTGTAGATAAATACAGGATTTAACTGTCCATGCAGCCCAACCTCCTATCCGTAAATCATGTGAAAAAGTCCTGTAGATAACTACAAGATTTAACTGTCCGTGCAGCCCAACCTCCCAACCTAAAAACGATGTGTGACAATGACCTGTGAACAGGATTAACTCCCCGTGCAGCCCAACCTCCCAACCTTAACAGGGTGTCACTAATAAAATGTAATAGACTCAGTTTAAGACTTCAAGACCACCAGAACCTTACTCAAAGTGTTTACACTAACATAGTGCTAAATACACATACATCCTACCCTGGGCACTTCCTGCCCGGCCCTCCAACTAACTGCATGATCAAAGCTAAACAATACACAATATGCAGCATAACCTCCACGCCCAGTATCTCCATATCTGAACTTTGCCACCTTGTAATGTTAATACTATTCCTGTGCCAAAGTACCTGCCCCAAACCTTTCTCCTAACCACCTAACCTTAAGGCAGGCTATAGCCAGTGCAGGCAACATAACCACTGTGACCTCTGCCCTGATATATATCACTCCAACATAACACCAGCTTAAATCCTTTGTGGTTCTTGACTCGGGACTAAGGCTTGAACTATGTACCAAGTTATGGAGAAGGTTATGACTATTTCCTATTTTCAGACATGCCCAATTAAATCCACCTTAATGTACAAGAATTTGCAACTACCTCGCTCCCCAATCTTTGGCCTTGGAGCAGAATGTGTGCATAGATCATGTCCCCTTAACAACCATAATACATCATTGTCTTTAACTGTTTCAAACATGTCTGAGTAACAACCCCCCACTAACTATTCCTCATTCGTTGTTACACAACCTCGTAACGTGTGAACCCTAAATAGTCACTTGGGAATGGGTGGGGGGGAAACAATCGACTGCCTTGAACGGAAAATGAAGCGAGAATGGCTATTCAAAGCGCGCTCATTTGCACGCATAACTTTGCCAAATTATTTCCGCACTAGAAAATGTTCACATGCACACCACATGAGTCGGATCTTTACTCGCATGTTTTGATACTTCTGGCCCCAAAGTTTGTTGACCTGATTCGAACTCTTGCTTCTCTCAAAAATGTGCTGATCAGTTTATGCTGATCACATTATTTTGTGAAGAAAGCAACTGTACGAACATGAATTGCAATTGCTCGACATTTATTTCCGCTTCAAGGCGTTAACATTTAAAATAGGCAATATCTGCCTGTAATACCAATACACATACATGATGCAAATTGCTATGTACGAACATGAAAACTCAGGAACATAATTCTGCGAAACTCAAAACCAAAATACATGTAATATAATCCTATCTGCAATATCAAACTGTGAGAATTAATTTTTCAGAATAATCCTGAGGATCTCTGGTCACGTGATCACCAGAAAGGATAGTAGCTCCTCCCGGTAGCCCCCCCCCCCCCCCAATTCATGGGGCTCTGAACGTGATCCACCAGCAGGATAGTAACTCCCGCTGATATCCCCCTCTTATTGGGGTTCCTGTCCCCCTCATCACTCCTAAACGCGGACGCGCATCCCGGCCTGCTTGGCCAAAGATATTGGCAGTCCCGCGTGTTCAAATTAAATTATATAAAATTCAAACCTCCACCCAATACCTTTTTTTTTTTTTTTTTTTTTTGTGATTAATTAATTAATTTATTATTATTATTTTTTTTTAAACTAGATTCAGCTTCTATACAGATCTCTTGAGATCTCCTACTTTCTCCCCCGGTTGCTGTAGGTATTCATCCTGACCTATTTAACCATACACCTATGATGTCATCATATGAACTATGCTCATTGCCGTTCACTTCTACACTTGTGTCATGCATTAAAGTTGGGTAACTATACATTTCATGTTGAGGTGTTAATGCATTTGCATTCTAAACTGTTTGGAGCTACTCCTGCTGCGCGAGGAAAGATAGGGGCAAAACCGGCTATTGTGATCGGACTTAAAGATCCGTCGAGCTAGCTACATTTCGTAGTCGGGAAAATTCCCCTATGGCCCACTGGTTCCTGAAACATTTAGTGCGACCAAGTCTTACTGACTCCAGTCCTTGCCAGCAGACTCAGGCTCCCTTATCACTAGACAATTATAATGTAATGCCATGTGACTTCAGATTTTCCAGATTCAGAATCAAAACATTTCCACCTCATAATATAAACAAAGCCAAAATACATTTACATTGACGAATCATACATCACCCTTTTACATGCGCACTGTGTCACAGTATTTGTGTCACAGTATATATCTTTTATAGATTACTTATTGAAACAAGCATGACTTGACAGTACAGAGTTATATATTCAATGTATCAGAATCTTCCACGACTGAATTACTTTTCAGTGTGTAATAGTATTTCTCATGCCTCCCGTTACCTGGATATCATCTTATATTTTCAAACCCAACCTCATGGAATAACCCAAATATAACTCAATTCAACTAATTGACTTTTGTCGCTCACTTTAGGTTTTCATAGAATACTATTGACATTAGGCTGAATCTGTTCAGAGAAGGCCAGTGTCCTTGGCTGCAGATTCGAATTTATCGATGAGCATGTCCGAGCCCACATCTGAGAGATGAATTCCATCCCTATGGAACAGACTGTGCTCTTTGGTATCTATATTGTGCACTATCATTGATGTGTTCACCATCTGGGAGATTCTCCTCTTTGCGAATTTGTTAAGTGACTTCCGCACACCATCCATTGCCTCTTGTGATGTTGGGCCTGGTCTGCTACCGTAGTAAAACAATCTTGGAAGAATACCAGACCAGGCTATGTGGGTTCCTGGCATTCTTGCTCGTAGAGTTTGAATTGCTGTATCGATTGCGATTCTGCAACGGCATGCATCTCTCTGACCCAAGTCGTTTGTTCCCAGGTGAACGATCGCCAGTGCAGGTGGTGCGTTGTAATTCAACCTATTTGTGACCATTCGGGGGAGGTCCTGGAGAGTAGCACCTCCTTGACCATGCCACTGTACTGCACCCTTCTCTGCTCCCAAGTGCAGGCGGTTCTGTGCAGTGGCTCGCTCTTTGGCCCTTCTTACGATACTGTCCCCCACTATCCAGACTCGGTTGCGTACTCGTCCTGAAATAAAATAGTTAAACTCCCGAAAGTAACATGTTCATATATTTGGGAAGAACAAAATATAAAATTTTCTTGTGAGCTTTATTTTCATAATTGTAATAACTCCCTAGTACTTAGTATGGAGTAAATGTAACTTATCTTATATAGCGCAAATAAACTTCACTGCGCCACCTACCCATCTTCCTAATTTGTTCTGGTGGCACACCATTCAAGGCAGCTGTGGTAGCTGCCCCAATTCAGAAAGAGTGAGTCCCATACCGACTAACATTCGCCCCAATTTGCTGAATGTTCTTTTTCAGGACTGCACTGAACTGGTACCTTGTAAGGGGGGAGCCATTCTCATGACAGAATAGTAGACCCTCTACCTGTGGCCTTGCTTGTAAATATGATTTCATGGCCTGTACTGGGCATACCCCCTCTACCCGGTTTGCGTTAATCCTCAAAGTGGTAGATTTCCCATATTGGTCTGTCTTAGAAAATCGGATTTGTAACAGTAAAGTTTCAGGAATGCCTCGGCCTAATTGTACATTTGTGATATTCAACGCCTTCCTTGTATCATCACCCTTCCCTCGGATGGTGAACTCCCCTATTCTCAGGAAACCAAAGAATGCTAGTAAGTACGCTGCCTTGAACATGATTGCTTCGTATCGTGAAAAACATACATATGCTAGGTTTGGCAACAGTTGTCGCATTAGCTCCCATGTGATGGGTCTTCTAGTATCTACACAACATTTGTCTCTTCTACTACCTTCTTGCATTTTCCTAATCAAAAAATGTTTTGTGGGATCAGCCCAACCATGCATGTTATGTAAATACGCTAGGGCTGCAACATGCACTGTGATTGTCGTGGGTGCTTTCCCACTGATAGAAAGTTGGGCAATAAATGCCATGACCTGTTTTACTGATGCCGGCCAAGAAGGATTCAACTGGTGATTCAACCGAAATTCCTGAAAAGAATCCACTGCCCTCTGATACACGCGCTGAGATCCTTCCCCTAGAGATTGTCCCAGCAGCCTCTGTGTTTCTTTTGCTAGGTCTGTAATATTCCAGGCGGTATTGGTGAGGCCCTTTCTTCAGCCAACGGCGCCAGCTTGCGAAATCGGTACATCTGGAATCGGGAAAGGGAGTCCGCAATACCATTATCATATGTGTGTACATGAACTGCCTTAAACAAGATATTTTGCCTCAGACACACCAAGACGAACGATCTCACCAAAGCCATGATTTTTGTACACGATGATGTCTGTTTGTTTATTGCATACATCACTGACATGTTGTCTGTGTACACGACAACTTTCTTGTTCTTTAGCTCATCTCCCCATATTGACACTGCAAGTACAATAGGTACCATCTCTTTCCATGCTATGGAAGTACCAGTGATTATTTCCCGTGAAGACCATTTCCCATTGAACCATTTGCCTCCGAAGTAGCCGCCAAAGCCTATTTCTCCACTTGCATCTGTGTAGAGGCTCATTTCTCTACTATTTACCCACCTTTCCTGTGTAATTACTGTTACGCCATTATAATACTCTATGAACTCCAGCCATGCTCTCAAGTCTAGCTGAGCACCCTCCGAAATGGACAGTGGCTTAGAACTAGTCTTCTCTCCCTTTATTAGGTCTATCAACCGGCGTAAGAATGCCCTTCCTGGTCGCACAGCCCGACTAATAAAGTTCAGTGACCCAATGACTGATTGGATCTCCTTAACTGTTACATATTTGTGTGACAACATCTTCTTAATCTTGCGCCTAACCTCAGTAAGCTTATCATGTGGAACTCGAACCTGCATTAACACAGAGTCAAGTTCTAACCCGAGAAATGTCAATCTTTTGGTAGGCCCCTCGGATATCTCTGCCGCTAAAGGAACCCCTAACTCCTCACAGATTCCTTTGAGAACTTGTACCATCTCGAGGCATGACACGCCCCTGTGCTCTATTGAACTAACACACAATAAGTCATCAACATAGTGTATAATCCCGTTTGAGCCACTTCGCTCCCGAACACAATATTCTATGAATGTGGAAAAGGTCTCGAAATACGCTGGAGCACATCTGACCCCCATGGGCAAGCATTTGTCGAGATAATATTTCCCCTCAAATTTGACCCCTAACACCTCAAAATCTTTCGGGTGCATAGGCAACAATCGAAAGGCGGACTTAATATCCTCCTTAGCCAAGTCAGCTCCCATTCCAGCCTCGGCGACCATCTCAACCGCTGTATCAAATCTAGTATATTCCACTTTACAATGCTCATCTGCAATAAAATCATTCACAGAGTATCCAGGCGGGTATGATAAATGATTGATTAATCGATAATCCCCCGGGGATTTCTTTGGCACCAGGCCAATTGGGTTAGTTCTCAAATTTTTTAGTGGCCTGGACTCAAAGGGACCTATGTATCGCCCTAGCTTAATCTCCTTCCGTATCTTCTCTTGTGTAATGTCCTTGTTATTTTCTGCTGATTTTAGGTTGGGTAAGTCTACTGGCATGCGAGGGCCAGTATAATTCAAACAAAATCCTTCTGTGAAACCACTTTCCAAAAACCTGGCTGCTCGCTCATTTGGGTAGCTTTTTAACAATTGTTGTAGGCTCTTTATTTTAATGGGTGACTTCCCCAAGGATATAACCTGTCCTGTAATCTGTACATCTCTACTGTTACTGTGTATTTCACCTTCAAGCCTGTCCTGATTTCTATTTTTTGTGTGTTCTATCTGTCTCCTAGGAATTGCCTTTTCCTTACTGAGCTTTGGGTTTGGGGGCTTTTGAGTTGGATTGATTGTTTGGGCAGAAAACCTTGCCGTGGCCACTTGCTCCACACAGGGAACACTTGTGCCCGTACCTACAATCTTTCCGGCTACAAGCCCCTGACCTGAAGTTGAATTCGTTACAGATTCCACTGCGAAAATTGGGTGACCTGGGGGGCACAAGCCTACCCTTGCCCTGTGTTTGGCTAGTGCTAGGGTTATATGTTCGCTTCCATATTCCCTCCTGTTGGACCATGGGGCCGATCGCCCGAGTGGACGGTCTTGGCCACGAACTCCCCGAGGAGGTCCCCCTCCCACTACATGAAGGAGCCACAATTCTCCATCTATACCTGCCCAAGATCCACCTTTCTTGTGGTAGCGGTGACGAAATTCGATATCATAATCTCTCCACCCATACTCATAATAGCGCGAAGCAGCAGATCGAATAAGGTGGCAGTATTTCAGTAAGTCTTGTGCGCAATTCAAATTTGCTTCCAAAACAATGCTAGCATACACAAGAAATGCATTAGTCCACAACTCTATGGTTGCAATCTTATTCTTGGATGTCGCGCTGACAGGTTTCAATACCAATCTCCCTTCTTCCTGAGTCATTGCCAAATTCGTCCTTTGTTCGTCTCTAGCTTCCCACTGTGTGTGTGCTGTCACCTCTTGGGCATGCACTAACACATTAAAATCCACATACTCGCCTTTCCATATTTTCTCCCTAATGTTATTGGGAATGGCCGAGCCTAGTCTATCTCCAACTGGCCGTAGTGGGGATTGGGGCGGGGAGTCATTTACTGCGAACCCGGACCTATGCTCGGTATGTGGTACCGATGAATTACCGATACCTGTGTAGCTAGGTCTGCTGTTATTATCATACTGACTTCCGAATGGCCTAGATCTATATTGAATGCCTCTTGAGACATGCCCTTGATTCCCCGACTCCAAGTCAACATGGGGCACGATTGTAGGGAACGAAGTTAAAAGTGGGTTCGCCCCTGTTATGTGACTATTGTCTGCCCCTCTGTGTGGCCTGGGGCTTGTCGTACCGACCCCAGCACTAATTGCTGTGCAATTAGCCATAGATCTAACTTCGGTTGAAGTAGCATTAGTACTAGTGGGTAGATCAAGATCTAGATCTATCCGTACCTCACCTGTTGACTGTAACTGCAACTGTGATCCCGGCTGTGATGGTTGGGTATTCAGGGCTGCTGCTGGTGGTGGTGGGGTGCTCGAAATTGCTGGTGGGATGCCTGCTGCCGGTAATGCCGGGATCGCTTCAGGTAGGCCTACTCCGCTGTCTACTGTTAGCGGCCGAGACTGCACTGCCCATGCCCTCTCTGTGCTGCTTGCCTGACGACGGCGCCTCGCCCGTCCGTTGATGCTTGTGGCTGAGCAACTGCTGGCCGGAGTTTGCGCTGAATTGTTAGTTTTCTTGCTAATTGAGCTGGCCCTAGTGCCCTTCCGACTCTTTTCAGCTGTTCTCTGTCTTTTCTGCTGGGCATTAGCACCGCCATTGGCGCACTCATTGGTCTTTCTCTTTCCCATTTCGCTATTTTTTTTATTTTTTTTATTTTTTATTTTTTGCAGCTCTAAAACAATCGACTGCCTTGAACGGAAAAACAATCGACTGCCTTGAACGGAAAATGAAGCGAGAATGGCTATTCAAAGCGCGCTCATTTGCACGCATAACTTTGCCAAATTATTTCCGCACTAGAAAATGTTCACATGCACACCACATGAGTCGGATCTTTACGCGCATGTTTTGATACTTCTGACCCCAAAGTTTGTTGACCTGATTCGAACTCTTGCTTCTCCCAAAAATGTGCTGATCATTTTATGCTGATCACATTATTTTGCACCCTTTTTGCACCCCTTTTTCTAAGAGTGTATAATATTCCGTCATGGAAATAAATATATACATTGATTAATATAATAAAGGTATGGTCAAGGCAGAATAGGGTATAAACATAACTGGAGGAGATAACAAAAAAATTTCATTACCCATTAATTCGTCATGATGGTATACAAATACACTCTATTTAAACTCTTCACGTTAACTTCCTGTATAAATATCAAACACCTAAAACATTAAAAGATTCAACTTGGAAGAGATTTGTATTATTATTTTATTATGACCTGTTAAAGATAATACAGAATTGATAATATCATGATAATTTTAATTAATATGAGCTAATTGAGCTATAGTATAGTGGCCTAAAATCAAGTCAAAGACGCAGTTTTATTCAGTATATACTGTGTTTAGAAGAGTCAGATGGTTAGTATGGGGGGGGGGATGTCTTCAGCAATAATGAAAAAGCATAAATGATAAAACTGTGAATTAATTTTGGAGATAATTGAAAGATAAGGTTGGATTGATTTGATTTGATTTTTTTTCTATTTCTCTTGATGATCTTTTCCAATTCTTAAAAACTAGTTTAAATATATTTATGAAAATGAAAGAAATCATATAATCAATAATACATCAACGTACAAAACAGAACACCGTAATATTAACAAAGAAGGCCGCATAAGCTAATATTGAAGGCGTCTCAGTCTTGTATACATTATATCCTTTATACATTGTACATAAGCGGGTTCATCACAAGTAGTTTATTAGAGGGCCGAATGAAAATCTGTTATAACGACAATTTGTTTATTATCGTAATAGCTAGTTCCTGAACCACTCCAAGGCCGGCCCCAGAGTTCGAGGTTGGAGTAAATTTTACAATCACATTCATATTCATTGAGGCACATGCATATAATTTAGTTTGTAATAATTTACTTTGCAATGTCGAAGTTTGTTACAGTTTTTAATACAGAAGTTCAAGTATGACATGAGATATTATAAATGGGGGAGTGATCTCATGTACATGTAACAATAATGGATACAGTATTGAATAAAACATCGATAAGAGAGGCTGACTGATTATTATGTCCATGGTTTATCAATCAAAGGATAGAAACCAGCATCCAAAATAACATCCTGCAAAATCAGCTCCAGAAGAGATGTTTTTGTGTTTCAATATATCAATGTTAAAATCGCCCATAATATATTAACTCAACATCTTTCAACTTGTCAATGAATGATTTAGGACAAATTCAATGAAACAAATAAATAGACGATGATTAATTCAAATTTTCGTTCCCGACCATTTGTTTTAGTCGACATGTATGAATCTATACCCATTGATAAAACGAAGATTGATGGTTAAGTCTTATCCACGTTTCTGATATTTCAAACTGGTCAGGAAGCTCTTAATTTTATCACAATTTTGTGGCAAATTTCTAGCATTAAAATGTATAACACTAAACTTATTTTTTGTTAGGCTTGGGGTTATTTATCTAAATTGAATGTCCAAATGGTGTTCTGCGTTGGGTATATATTTGGGTGTGTCCTGAGAGTTTACTTCACAGCAGTTAAAGTTCAAGTGATCGAGGATATTATGTTCGGGTAAGATGGTGTGCGACAAAAATTGGCAGTTAATTCATTGTCAGTGAGTTCCCTGAAAGGTAAGAGGTTGAAAATGTGAGGAACACTTGATTTAGCATTAATGGTAGAGTCAGGATTTAAACGTTTAGGTCGGAATCTTACAGCGATTAAAGTTGTAAAGACATCGGTAAAACAAAAGCTATTACAAAGCTATAATATAAAACTAGAAATTTAATTCGTCATGGGGACGAATTAGGTGGTCTGTCTTCAATTCTTATGATTATGCTCATCTTCAATTCAATTACCCAATAAATTGGTGTTAATGTAAAATGATGTATTAAGATATGGATTGATGAATAAAGTACTGATAAACTGATAGATTGAACTGATGTGAAATGAACTGAATTGATGAGCTAAACGGATAAACTGATGAGCTGAACTGATGAACGAAATATTGAGAAAATATCATGATAATGCATGATGATCATGATCAAATTTAATGCAAAAAATATCAAAAAAGGTAGGCCTAATGAATATGACACAAAGTATTGAGAAATAAACTACTTGATCATGATCATGATTGTCATGATGACGATAATGATAACCATGATGATGATGATGATGATGATGATCATGAGCGTGATCCTGACATCTGATTGAAAAACATGAGGGGATATTTAGATAGCATATAGGCTCAGCTACAAAAATCAACAAAAACCAAGAGGAAAAAACGGCGATATTGCTCGCAAAAGACAGGAATGTAGAATCCAGATTTGAGAAAAAGTCATCTCCCATAGGGATTACACGCAAAAAGTAATGGATCAAGTGATAATATGGTAATAATAAAGTAAATATGGTTGTTTATTACATTATTTGCGATTCTACGTGTTTTAATGTTCAAAGGAACGGTACAGTGAAAGGTCAAAAAAGACAAAAAAAGTGAGGAAAAAAAAATTGTTGGAGACACCCGGACTCGAACCAGGGACCTCGAGGTCGAAAGTCAAGTGCGTTACCGATATACCAAAACATTTCCCATAGCGATTACACGTAAAGGGAAATTAGAATTCTCAAATCCCACCTTGCAAGTGAAATATGAGCATGATCCCGGCATCTGATCGAGAAATAAATGGCACACTAGTGATAGCTTATTGTCTCAGCTACAACATACTCAAAGCTCAGCGTAAACAAAGATAAAACGACGGAGATATTGCTCGCGAAAGACGAGAATGTAGAATCCAGTTTTGAGAAAAAGTCATGTCCCATAGAGAATACACGCAAAATGTGAAAAATTGACATGCCTCTTTTAATCGCAAAAATACGCCATGATGCCTTTGTCAAAATGAAATATCGTGTTGACTGCATTTGTAGAGAATTGTCTCAGCTAAAACATATCAAAATTTGAAAGAAAATTAATTAATATTTACAGAGATACAATCAATTTTCCAAAAATCTGCTGACGTCATAATATGCTATGTATTAAAAGAGCTCGCGCGCACTGACATTTATCTTGAATTTACGCTCATCTTGTTGATAATGGTCATAAAGAGATAACATGGAATCAAATTCCTTGAACAAATATGAGAAATATCATGAAAGAAAAAAAAATGGCGATTCTATGTTTTTTAATGGTGTTACGCGCGAAAACGCGCGCGCATGCTCGTACGCGCGATTTTTTATAAAATGCTTAAAATGACCTGAAACGTATGCAAAATAAATTTGAGACGATTTTGAGCATTTAAAAATTTTGCGCGCGCATTGACGAACGGACGTACGCGCACGCGCGCGTTTTTTTACATGAAATTGACCGGACTGATATTGACCTTGATCATGATAAATATGAATGAGAAATTACTTTGGGTTAGGAAGATATGATCATAAGTTAATTTTCACAAAATGGCGCCTAGATGACGTCATCAGTCAAGGTCAAGGTTGAAAACCTTACTGTGTTTTCTCCATATGCCTATACATATGTGTGCCAAATTTCAAGTTATTTGATTTAGCTTTTTTCAAGTTATCTTGCTAACAAAAAGTGGGTCGAAATAAGAAAAATAAACTAGATTTGTAATACTTGTTTTGAACAAGTATAGGTGGGCAGTTTCAATTAAAATTTAAAGGGCATATTTGTGATAGCTAATTGTCTCAGCTACAACATACTCGAAGTTCAGCGTAAACGAAGCTTAAACGACGGAGATATTGCTCGCGAAAGACGGGAATGTAGAATCGAGTTTTGAGAAAAAGTTAGGTCCCTTAGATAGGACGAAATCTGGTGACAAAAAATCTAAGTCGAAAAGAATAGGGAAAAAATAGTAAGAAATAGGTTAAAAATAAGTCCCAAAACATAGTAAAAAAATAGGAAGAAAATGGGTGAAAAAATCAAAGTCCAGAAACATAGTGAAAAAATAGTAAGAAATAGGTAAAAAATAGTAAGAAATAGGTAAAAAATAGGAAGAAAATGGCAGAAAAAAATCCAAGTCCAAAAACATAGTAAAAAAATAGGAAGAAATAGGTAAAAAATAGTTATCAAACCACCAATTCCTAGAAATAGAAAAAAAATAGGCTGTCATATGCTATTTTTAATCTATTTTTAATTAAAAAAAAATAGTGTTTAAATAGGGTACATTCACATAAAAATAGGAAATAAATAGTGAAAAATAGGAAAAAAATATATTTTTCCAGAGCCCATTTTGACTAGGGTATTCACATTATGACTTTTCTCTTCCTCTCTTCCCAACGGTCCAGTTCCATGTTGTAATCATTATACCCATGAGTCTTATTTAATTTCTGTATTATTTTACCTTGGGTTAAATTAAAAACAGTAGGTTAATCAAGGATATCTCTTTGGGCTAAAGTTCTCTCATTATTAAGACTGAAAAAGGGTAAGTCAAGTTGGAATACTGGTTCATACTACAACTAGAAACGATCTGATTCAATCACATATCTCTTAAAAATGTATGACTCTAAACTACATTTACCTTTACATCCTTTTGAAAGACGTCACATTTGTGTACGAATTGGATGTATTCTGTAGAAGACTGCCTTTGCTGCACTACATGGTAAATATGGTTTAACTGTAATACAATTAGACAAACGAACTATACAATATTACAGTTCGATAATTATAAACTAATGAAACAAATTGAAGGCGGGCATTACTGCTCTCAAATAATGACATGGTACAATTTA